CACCCCCAGACACATGTCCTATATCGCCCAGCCCTCTCCTGGGCACAGTGGGTTATATTAGGCCTGTAACTTCTTTAAAAGGAATGATATGCCAAGTGATTATTTCAAATGGTTATTTAAATACTATTGGATTAGGTAAAACAGGCCAATGAGTTCATTAATTACAAAGAGCTTTTCGGTGAGTACAAATAATAAGGCATCCGAATCACAAATGATTACAAGAGAAATAAAATTAAAACGATGACTTAGGGTCTAACTTAACACATGGCGTGATACGCAAAGCAAAGTTTTCTCCTCGTGTACTTTCAGCTGTCCCACTGACCAATCTTAAGCCAGGACCCCTTCTCAGAGTCTGATGGGTGCTGCCTTTGTCGCTTCAAGGACGGTGAACTCAATGGGCAAAGAGAGGGGGTCTTTGAGTGTTTGCCCCTTCTTAGTCCTGCCCCACTTCGCTCCCCGCCAGAGCTGCTTCTCAATGCGACAGGCAGCGTGGGAGGAAGAGAAAGAAATCTCCCTGCTGTTTCTTTCTGAAGATGTAGATCTGTTTGCCCCGCCTCCTTTCCTGCCAGAGAATGGCAGCTTAGCTGCTAATGGGCCGTCAGTCTTGTGGACGCTTAGTTGAGGCCTCGGCTTGCCTTTGGCCTCTGAGGAACTGGTTTGGCAATGCACAAGGCTTCTCTGGAAAGAGCTATTTTAGGCCATGTCCAGCACTTAAAACTTCTGTTGATCGGGGCGTGAAAAAATCGCCCCTCTGGCCAACGTGTCATCGACAAAGCGCCAGTGTGGACAGCGCTCTATCAGCAAGAGAGGGTTTCCTGCCAACCCAGCTACTGCTGCTTGTTGGGAGTTGGCCAGTTGTGCCAATGGCAGAGCTCTCCTCCTGGCATAGAGTGGCAACGTGGGAGACCTTTCCAGCAGGAAAGTGGTGCCACTGTATGGTCTGTGGTGTCAACAGAGCCGTAGCCAGGATTTCGGCTTGTTTATAACTTGGCTTCTAACTAACATTGCTACGTGCATTTTGCCAGGATACTACTGATCAGCAAGTTACGAGTTTTTAAATGATATTTTGTAAAACATGCCTGATGCACACATGATTACAATGGTGTTGGGGCGTGAATCCCGCAGGATAGTCTGTCTCGGTACCTGGGATGGAAGAGGAGAGTAAGACGAAAGGGAGCAGTAAAGTTTGTTTTCTTTCTCGGCTTTATGTCCTGAATGGCTAGAGATTTGCTTTGTGCTCTTTGCAGTATAGAGCAGGATGAACCATGCATGGCAGAGAATGTAGTCAATACGACTTCCATTTGTGCTCTGTGAGAACCATGCTGGAGTGCCTTCACCATTATCCCTCTGTAGGTATTTGTAACAAGGGCCCCATATGTTCCATGACAACACACAGTACACTCCGGCTCCAGAATTCTGCTCCAGAATCTCCTTTTTAACTTTTAAACAAATTGTTTCGAACCCTAATGGTTGCAGAGAGCCTTGAAAACCTGAGCCAGCTGGACCCGCTGCAGTACTGGCCTCCAGATTCTGCAGCCATCCTGAAGCTAACAGTGAGGGTGTTCACTTTCCTGATGCCCCGCTGGAGTGTTGGCTCTGAAACCTCATGATGCCCAGAGAACCGTGAGCATGGCGACTTTTTTCTGTGCTGATTCTTTGGCAGAAAGCACACTGCTCGTGTGCACGTCTCACAATCCCAAATGGCCGCCGCTGACCAAAGCCCCAGTTTTCCTTTACGCTGCAGCCCAATCCCCCGTCTCTGCCCAACAACGGTCTCTCACTTTCTGCCACGCAATTACACCAAGCTCTGCAGAACATGGGAAATGGAAAATGCGAAGGTGGCTTAAAACACGGAAGAAAGTGACACGCTGAACCAATGGAATTAGCAGGTTTGTCCTGAAATCTGTAAAAATCTCTTCTTACAAATTGTCAGTGAAGCTGCCACAGCATTTCCAGCTGCCACGCTCAGCGCTATGGAAACCTGGGTCCTTGGAGTCCCGCGCACTACAGAGCACGTGGGATTCCTAGTAGTTGCGTTTAGATCTCTCTCAGGCCCTGAGCCGGCCGGGGTGACCCTGCAGGAGACGCAGATTGGATTCCAGGTCCCTGGTCTCTTGCTCCTGGAAGGCTGGGACTGTTGTAGGCCTGGTTCGGAGCCTGTTGGAACGAACGGAAAAAGACCTTTGGGTTCCAGTGAAGGTTGGAGCGGGTCCCGCAGGGACGGTTCCCCATAGCTGGAGTTAGCCTGCCTGAGGAACGCTACGCATCGGCTCTGCGGAGAATATTCCTGGCCAAAACGAGGGTCAGCTCAATGCTCAAGAAAAGTTCCGTGGGAATCAGGTGGGGGGTTCCCTCAGAGCACTGCCCAGTCTGGGAGGGCTGGTGTAACTCTGGATACAGCCGCTGGGTTTTGTACTGGAAGAGCTTTAAAAGGGGCCCGTTTGTTTGATCAGATGGGAATGGTGATGCCCTGGCTCCCTTGGCCAAAGAGGAGTGCCGATACAAAGGCAGAGCAGACCCCTCGGCCAGTCTGTCCCCAGGCAAGTCCCAGAGCAAGCGACTGGTTTCACAACCTAGACCTGGGCTGGTTCCTCCCCTCCCCCTTGCTCCATGTTCCTTCTTTTGAGTTGCCTTGCATGTGCCTGACCCTGGGGTAAGCGCTGCTCTCAGTGAGCAGGGTGGCTCGCTCTGCAATCCATGTGACTGCAGTTTCCGTTAGTTCCTTCCGCAAGCTCTAAATTAACCTGCTACTCAGCAAGAGGAAGAAACGAGAGGCTGCTGCTAACGCTGCCTTCTGTGAAGCAGCTGCGAGCGCGGGCGGGCGGCTCTGTGCAGCATGAGTGCCCGCGCCCCGGGCACGCTGCCCCGTGCAGTGAGTAACCCCTCTCCGGGGCTCGGCGGTGGCCTGAGGCTGGCTGCAGGGCAGGGCAATGGTGGGGTCGGGACAGCCATGGTGCGGTGGCTTCCCCCTGGGGGGGGTCTGGGCTTGCGGCGCGTGGGACAGGGGTGCGGAAAACGCCCTTCTGAGCGCAGCTCCTTCCCCCGCTCTGTGGGGAGCAGCGGCAACGCCCGCACGTTCAGGCTCTCGTGGCCTCCCCCCGCAGCAGGGAGAGCCTGGGGAGAGAGGGAAGGAAGGAAGGAGGCTGCTGCTGGAGGGAAGGCAGCAGAGCTTGGGAGAGAGATCCTGCTGCCCAGGGAAAGGGCTGGCGCTTCAAATGCAGCGACATGTTCACTGAGACGGGCGAGTGCGGACGGAGCAGCCAGTGCGATGGAGACAAGGGCACTGGAAAAGGCTGGAACAAAGATGCAGTGAGGGCCGTTGGGCTTCAGTTTGTCCCCGTCTCTGCCCCGGCCGCGTCTCTGCCCCGCTGCAGCTACGGGGGCCAGACCCTCCCTGCCTCGGTGGAGCTAGGCCAGTTCTGACTCTGTCCCGGAGGAAACGTGGACCGGACGGGGGGCCCCAGGGAGACGCAGTGGGCGAGCGCTGTGAGAAGGCCCCGGCTTGATGCTGTTTGAGTCTGTGATTTAATGGTGGTTTGGCTGGTGGTAAAAACAAAAATAAAAAATCTGCCCCTGCGGGGAAGATTCTAGAGTGAGCCTCTTGGGCTGCCGGAGACGCTTCCCTTTCCTGAGTCCCCGGAGCGGAGAGCTCTGCTCGTGGCGTGCAGCCGGGAGGCGAGGGGCCTGTTTGCCCCGGGGTGCTGCTCGCTCTTCGGAGTGCAAAGGCTGGGGCGGCCAATGGCGCTTTGCTGATTTTGCTCTTGGAAAGCGGTTTGTTCCCCGTGGTCTCCGTCGCGGGGCCCCAACCAGGACTGGAGCCAGGGCAGGTCAGGGCCTGGCTTCTGCTGGAGGTGCGGGCGCTCGGGCCCCCACAGGGTGTGGAATTCTGCAGCTTGTTGTCTAGTGGGAGACAGGTCCGTCGATGGAGGGGGGCAAACAGCTGCCCACGTGCCTTTAAAATGTAGCCCAGCTCCACACACACCGTCACGCCGCTGCTCGGCACCGGGCCGGGCCACGAGAAACGCTCCCTGCCCCAAAGACAGCACCTCGAAGGCCTTTGGGCTCCTGACCTCAGTTGAGGTCAGTGGGAGCTAGGAGCCAAAATACCATTGAGGATACACAGGGGAGGGGAAAGGACACAGGCACAGAGCAGTCCAGTGACTTGCCCTGGTCACAGGCCCTGCGGCCCACGAGAGTTCCCTAGGCGCTGTCTCCCCGGGTAGATGGGCGGGAGCATTAGAGCGCCTCGCGAGTGGCGCGGAGCGGAGGTCAGAACCGCAACGGTAACCTGCCCTGTTCTCACCCCAGGGCCGGAGCTGTGCGACGACCATCTTATTGCAATAACCTCAGGGTGATTAACAAAGGAGGGGCCATTTCCGTGTACAGGACTCAAACGCCAGCGGAGGGCAACAGAAATGATGAGGGGACTTATGAGGAGCGGCTGAGGGATTTGGGCTTGTTTAGTCCGCAGCAGAGAGCAGTGAGGGGGGATTTGGGAGCAGCAGGGGGTTCCAGAGGGGCTGGAGAGAGGCTGTTCTCAGGGTGGCGGATGACAGAACAAGGAGCAATGGGCTCAAGCTGCAGTGGGGGAGGTCTAGATTGGAGATTAGGAAAAACTCTTTCCTTGGGAGGGTGGGGGAGCGCTGGGCTCGGTTCCCTGGGAGGGGTGGAATCTCCGTCCCAACAAGCCCTGGTTGGGATGACTGAGTTGGGTTGGTCCCGCCCTGGGCAGGGGGCTGGACTCGATGCCTCCTGAGGTCTCTGCCCGCCCTCATCTGACACCACAATATGAGGCAAGTACTGCCAAGCAAGCGGCTGGAGCCTCGGGGAGAGGGCTCCCGTCCCGGCTCGGGGAGAGGCCTCCCGTCCCGGTTCTGTGGAAGCCGGTTTGAGAGGCAGAGACGGTCTCACCTCACGCCTCTGAGGTCCGAGAGCAGCCAGGAGTGAGGGGAGCGGCGCGGCGCTTCCCGACGTCTCACCGCTGCCTTGTGTCTTCGCAGGACCCCGGCTGCTGAGATGGAGTCAGTGTCTCTCGGGCTCTCCCTGAGTCTCGTCTTTCTCGTAGCAGGATGGGGACCCACTGGAATGGCCCTGGCAACGCACCATGGGCCCTGCAAACAAGTGCATGTCTCTGCCAGTCTGTGCCCTTGGCGACTGCTCACGTGGGGCAGCGCGGCGCCGGCAGAGAGCGGGGTCTGCTCTGAGCACGCCCCCCGGCACTGGCAGGG